CTGTGCCCTGGCCCCTTTTCTGTGGCAAGAACCACCAGAGCTGCTAGAACAGCCTTAAAAGCTCCAAGTCCGTTTGGAGGAGAGCTCTCTTGTGGTGAGAAGCAAGGAAATGGCCATTAGACTGTTTTCCAGGCAAGCCCTGGGGAGGGCAGGCACTCTGAGCATGCCAGGGCACAGCTGGAAGAACCCCAGCCGACCGTGCCAGGGAGGTGCCAGGCACTACTGGGGCTCACGGGCAGCTGAGCTCTCCCTGCTAAGACCTAGACAGACCCAAAGAGGCATCGAAATTATGTGACGAGATGCAGAGCAGCCCAGGATAAAGAGGGCTCAAAATTGGCTTAAATCCATTTACTCCCACTTGCTGCAAGCTGTGAATTGTATGTTCTGCACCTTAGAAATGACAAATTTAAAGTGTGTATGTGAGCAGTGTTCTCTTAACTCTTTAAAGTACATAGCAAAAAGCTAGGTAGTCTCAAACTGCAATGTTCAGGCATGAATTTCAAGAATCCCACAACTGTGGGAGTAATGTTTGACACATGAACAGGAAAAGAGTTCAGCCATAAAATTTACAGTTTGAGAATATAAAAGTAGAAGTTCAGAAGGGTTAAAATAAAATATCTAGGTGTGTGGATTTTGATTCTGCTTGGAGTTGCTCTGTTGCTTTGCTTGCTGTGTGTGGACGCTAATGTAATTAAAAGGTCTCGATCTCTGTAGTCTGTGAGAGGGACAGTACCACTCAGTACATGCATTAAGCAAAATTACTTTTGGAATAATGTGATAAAGTATGTAACCATTTCTTATTTAGATGTGGCCATGTTTTCGTTTCTGTACTGACAAATTTAATAGTAGCAATTCTTCAATACTGAAGAATTGAATAGTACTGTGTCGAGTTTTCAGAATACTATTTCAGATTATTCCAGTGTAGCATATTTATGGGCAACAGAAAGAAATACAAAGAGACTGGGAATTAGAGAGGGCTCCATTTAGACTAAGATGGTAAAATGCTAACACAAATATGGTAGTTACCAGAGCTTTTTCTGCAAAAGAAATTATTCTTCACTATTCTATTAGCTCTTTTTTTGTTCCTTTTTTTTTTTTTTTTTTTTTTAACCAGCCATTTAAAAAGAAGGGAAAAAGAATCAGCCAACATAATTTTTTGGACTTCAAAAAGCTTTCTCCACAGGAGCAGCTGTTAAGGAAGCTAAGTAGTCACTGGGAGAGAAGGAAATCCTCGTCATGGGGTAAAAATGGCTACATGACAAAGTCTAAAGTAAAAATATATAGTCATCCTCCTCTATGGCAGAAAGATTACAGTGGGCTGCTCCACTGCTTCATGCTAGGATGGTTGTTATTCAATAAATATATTAATAAATTGGAAGGAAAGTTAGGCAGTGAGATGGCAGCCTCTGCAAATGGCACAATTAGCTAGGTTACTCAAGTCCCAAACACACTATGTGGGGAACTTCAAAGGGGAACCCTCAGGACTACAGCAGCGGATGACACAATATTAAATGAAATTCAGCAGTGATGTATGAAAGCTAGCAGGCATTGAAAGAAGTAATTTGAACTGTTTATGACCTCTGTTGGGTTCTAAATGAATTTAAAAATAGCATGAAAAGAGATCAAGTCATTGTGGACAATTCAGTAAAACCTATGATCTCTGTTAAGGTTTCAGTGGCCTTCCCCCTCCCCTTATAAATCATCCAAATAAAAGAACCCCCTTGCCACAAAATAAGAACCAATGGCAACAAGGTCCTATCTGTGTGATATTAATCTAAATACAGTACAGATGATAGCACAGAATGCAGCATCATCTCTTATTCTGACTGCTGTGGCAGAGGAGAAATGAGCAACAGGAAAGAAAACAACCTATTTCCAAATAAGTATGTTGTGCCTCATTCCAAAGTACAACAATAAGTGAAGATTCAGTGAAAGTGAGGAGAAGAAAATTTTGCATATGTAAAAATAATATATTTTCTTCATTAAGTAAGCATCTAAATGCTAGTCGCTGTAAGAGAGATCCAAACTTGTAGGTGATTGCATTTGGGAGGGCAATTTAGATGTGCAAAGCCAAACTGAAATCTAAGTGCTTATAGGATCAACCATTACAGGGTGCTGGGTGTCCCATACAGATTCTTCTTCTGGCTCAGAAATCAAGAGGGGGGAGGTATCAGAGAGGGTCTTAGTTGAGTCCTCCTATCTTGCTGTTCCCTCTATGGCACAAAATTTACCCTGTCTTTGCCACTGTTGAAACAGCTGAGGGGATTCTGTAGATAGTCCTTGTTCCTTGCTTGTATTTTAGTTATTATTTAGCACAGCTAAGGTTTACAGATTTACACCTGTAGTTAGCCAGACTGTTGCTCTTCTGTGTCTGCTAGGCACATGCTGCATGTGTCTCCCAACAGTTTAAAGATAAGGATAACAGTAAATCATGTATGGTATAAATAAATGAACTACACAGTTGTACAAAGAATGGACCAGTCTTACCATGGACAGTCACACAATCATAGCAGTGATCTTTACACAGTATACCTCCAAGTGGAATACATGAGAGGAGAATAAGGAAAATGTAAAATGAGCATCTTTTTTTAGTATTATGTACAAAACTGATTAAAATAGATTTCAAGAAGAAAAGTTCATTATGCAGTTGCTCAAACAACTGTACTCTTCAAAATGTTTGAAAAAGAGTGGATTTGTGGAAATCCATTAAAAAGTGTTCATTAGGATGGCCGCTTGATAGAACTTCTAGTGCATAGGCTTTTGTAGGGCAGGGTGGTAAGAGGTCTGACATCCTCTTTTATTAAATTAGTTTGAACTCGGTATAGGTGGAGCATACTCACAT